CCAAACCCATCCAACCCAACCCAAACCCACCCAAACCCATCCAATCCAACCCAAACCCACCCAACCAAACCCACTCAACTCAACCCAACCCAATCAAACCCAACTCAATACAGCCCAAACCCACCCAACCCAACTCACTCAACACAATCCAACCCAACTCAATCCAACCCAAACTCACCCAATCCAAACCAATCCAACCCATCCCAATCCAACCCAACTCAATCCCACCCAACCGAACCCACTCAACACAATCCAACCCAAACCTGCCCAACCCAACCCAACCCAACCCAACTCAATCCAACCCAAACCCACCCAACCCAACACAAACCAATCCAACCTAACCCAATCCAACTCAACTCAATCCCACCCAAATCCACCCAACCAAACCCACTCAACACAATCCAACCCAACTCAATCCAACCCAAACCCGCCCAATCCAACCCAACCCAACCCAATCCAACCCAACCCACACCCACCCAACCCAACCCAACTCAACCCCACCCAAACCCACCCAACCAAACCCACTCAACACAACACAACCCAAACCTGCCCAACCCAACCCAATCCAACCCAACTCAATCCAACTCAAACCCACCCAACCCAACCCAACCCAATCCACACCCACCCAACCCAACTCAATCCCACCCAAACCACCCAACCAAACCCACTCAACACAATCCAACCCAAAGCCACCTAACCCAACAAAACCCAATCCAACCCAACCCAAACCCACCCGACCCAACCCAACACAACCCAATCCAATCCAACCCAAACCCACCCAACCCAATCCAACCCAACCCAAATGCCATTTGCTCCCCACAGACCAAAGACGTGACGACAGCGATGAACGAGGGCCGCTTTGAGGATGCCCTGAAGCTGCGGGGCCGGTGAGCACCCACACCCCGACCCCACAGAGCACCCTGAGCCGTGGCCACCCCAGGGTCCCTCACACGCCTCCCCCATTGCAGGAGCTTCCAGAACAACTGGAACGTTTACAAGCTGCTGGCGCACATCCGCCCACCCTCCACCAAGGTACGGCCACAGGGATGGGGTAACGGGGACCCCCCCCGAGCCCCACAGATCCCCCACACCGGCTCTGTCCCCCACAGAGCGGTTACACACTGGCTGTGCTCAACGTGGGTGCCCCGGCTGCTGGCATGAACGCCGCTGTCAGGTCAACCGTGCGCATCGGGCTCATCCATGGGCACCGCATGCTGGCCGTGCACGATGGCTTCGAGGGGCTCGCTGAGGGCAAGGTGGGAGCCTTGGGAATGGGGGGGGGGGCAGAGGTCAGGGAATGGCCCCCCAAACCAGCAGACACGGCCTCATAGGGAAAGGGGATCCCCTAGGATGGGGAGGTTCAACCCCAGCCCCACCATGGTTCATCCTGCTGATGGTCCTGGCATGGGGAGCACTGGGTTACCCCAGTAACACTTTGATACGGACCCCCAAATCCTCCTCCTGTACCCCTTTATCATGCTGCTTTACCCCCAGATAGAAGAGATCAGCTGGGAGCGCGTTGGCAGCTGGATAGGGCTGGGAGGATCCAAACTGGGGACAAAGAGGTAATGTGGAGGGGGGGGTCCCCAGGTTGAGCCCCCCACCCCGGGCAGGATCAGCCACAGATGCTTCTCCCCCCCCCCCCCAGGACCTTGCCCAAGAAATACTTTGAGGAAATCAGCATCAACATCAGCAACTTTGGCATCCATGGACTGATCATCATCGGCGGCTTTGAGGTGAATGGGGTGGTGGGTGCAGGCAGCGCCGGCACTGCACCAGCACCAGAGCAGCACCAACACCCCATGTCCCCCAGGCTTTCACGGGCAGCCTGGAGCTGATGGAGGGAAGAGCCAAGTTCGAGGAGCTCTGCATCCCGCTCTGCGTCATCCCCGCCACCGTCTCCAACAACGTCCCCGGCTCCGACTTCAGCATCGGCGCCGACACCGCGCTCAACACCATCACCACGGTGCGGCCCCGCGCCCCCCTCCCCGTGTAACAGCAGCATTCACCTAAATCCCTTTATTCCACCCCAATTCCTGCACCTCTGCAGACCTGCGACCGCATCAAGCAGTCGGCAGCGGGGACCAAGCGCCGCGTCTTCATCATCGAGACCATGGGCGGCTTCTGCGGCTACTTGGCCACCATGGCGGGGCTGGCGGGCGGTGCTGACGCTGCCTACATCTATGAGGAACGCTTTAACATCCATGACTTGCAGGTTGGGGACCCCCCCTCACGCTGGGTGCCCCCATTCCGGGCAGTGCCGCAGCCCCATGGCGGTAGGAGCTGTATTAATTCCCATTTTCCAAGCGCTCCCAATGCCTGTTTCCTGCTCTACGTAGGTCAACGTGGAGCATTTAACTGAGAAGATGAAGACGACGGTGAAGAGGGGGCTGGTGCTCAGGTCCGTGCCTGTGTTGGGATGGGGGGGAGCTGAGACCTGTCATGCTCATGTCACCCCCATGAGCCCATCTCCCTTCCTTGGTGCAGGAATGAGCGGTGCAACGAGAACTACACCACGGACTTCATCTACAACCTCTACTCAGAGGAAGGGAAGGGCATCTTCGACTGCAGGAAGAACGTGCTGGGGCACATGCAGCAGGTAGGGAACCACCCAGGCAACAGGAAGGTGGTCCCCGGGGAAGGGGGACCTGTGCACCAGGGACTGGAGATGCTCAAGGCCAGGTTGGATGGGGCTTGGAGCAAGCTGCTCTAGTGGTTGGAACTGGAGGAGCTTTAAGGTCCCTTCCCACCCAGCCCATTCCATGATTCCATGATTTTTCCGGCACAGGGCGGCACCCCGACCCCCTTCGACAGGAACTTTGGCACCAAAATGGGTGCCAAGGCTGTGGCCTGGATCACTGGGAAGATCAAGGAGTGCACCCGGCACGGTGGGTGCTGTGCTAAGGGGGGTTTCTCTGCCTTACTTCCCCACTGCCATGGGTGGGGGGGGGTATTGCCAAAAGCACCCCCCAGCTCCCACACCTCAATGTAAAGGCCCCATGCAGATGTAGGGGTGCTTCCCCCTCCTGAGCCTGCTCCTTCCCTCCCTCCCTCCCTCCCAGGCCGGATCTTCGCCAACACGAAGGACTCGGCCTGCCTGTTGGGAATGCGCAAGCGCAGCCTCGTCTTCCAGCCCCTCACCGAGCTCAAGGAGGAGACGGACTTCGAGTAGGTGCCCCCTTGCTCCCTTGCTCCTGAGGCTGAGCTCCAGCCCCAGGAAGGATCAGTGCAGGCTGGGAATGCTGCCCTCGGGTGATGCACTTGGTCCCCATGCAGGACCATCACGTTGCTGTCTGTCTCCCGCCCAGGCACCGCATCCCGAAGGAGCAGTGGTGGCTGAAGCTTCGCCCCATCCTGAAGATCCTGGCCAAGTACAACATCGAGCTGGACACCTCGGAGACAGCCCACCTGGAGCACATCACACGCAAAGGGATCTCACTTGAGTCCAATAACTGAGAGGCTTCCCCTGCCCCAGCCAGGGCAGCAGCCCTGCACCCCAAGGGCACCCGCTGCTGTGCCACAAAGCTGCTTTTCCCCAATCACAGGGCTTCCTAAGGGTAAATTTGGGGTTGGTTTAGGTATTTTATGGGCTTTTAAAGGAGAAAAGCAGTTCCCCACGTGTAGGTGGGATGTCACAATGAGCTGAGAGCAAGAGCCCCAGGGACACCACTTTAGTCTTAACAATTCACAGTGAAGATGCTTCAATAAACCCCTCACTCACTCGTGGTGGCAAACGTGGATCAGGCTCCAGCCTCCGCTGCTCATCCCATGGGAAGGTGAATATGGCTCCTGCACACACCCCTGGGCCCACTGGCTTTGTCTCCCAGGATAACAGGGAGGAATCCAACGTCTCCAATCTGAGTTCCCCCCCCTCCAAGTTTCAAGCAATGATCAAAGTTGAGGCACCTGATGTCACCTTCCCTGAGCATGGGCAGCTCTCCCGGAGGATCCCAGGGTGAGGAATGCACACATGGGAGGATGATGCATCCCAAACCCTTCCCCAAGCCAAGGGGTAAAGGGTGGATCAGAGGGTTCAGGCTGTGCTCAGAGGTTAAACCCATGCAGAGCTCAGAGGGATGAGTGTTTGCCAAGGCACAACCATGGATGGGGCCTGTGTCAGGTGCCAAACCCAAGCACAGGAACGGGACCACCAGCAGCAGCACCCCCAAACCCCACCCTGAGGCACCCTCCCTGCTTCAGTGAGGACCCCAAAGGAGTGGGACTGATCCCCAGCCTCGAGTGGGTGACACACATGCACTTTCCAAAGTTTATTTCCATGGATACATGACGGAGCAAAGGGAGAATGGGTGCTGCCCGCAGGGGTCCTGCCCGGTGCCCCCTGCCAGCACATCCTCACTCCTCCTCCTGAAGTCCATACACACACACACACACCTAAAATCAACAACAGTGAGTTAATGGTGAAAACCAAAGCTAAGGAGGGGCTTGGAGGGGTTATGGTGTTGGCAGATGGGGGGAGAACCCCTGCTCAGGTGCATGGAGCATCCCGAGCTCCGAGTGGAGCTACTCTGGAGCAGGAAGCCAAGTGTTGGCTTTTGGGGTGCTCCCACCCTCTTCCCCTCTCCAGCAGTGACACATCTTAGAGATAAGAAGGGAAAAACACATTTCCAGGCATTGAGGGGATGAGGACATACAAGCTCTTCCCATCTGCAGGGCGTTGTTGCCATGTGTGGGTCCAAGCGGTGAGCGAAGGTGCTGGCTGCACACAGGTTCACTACACACATTTAAGGCGGCTTAATCCACGTCCCACAGGATTCTGTGGGCCTGAGAACACCTTCTCTTGTGTTCCTGCCTCCAAAGGAGGCTCTCCCTGCTCTCCTCGTGCCTAGAAAGCTTTCCTTTCCCCAGGGCAAAAAAAAACAGAGGGGAAAAACCAGGTTAATTCATCAGCTGGGGTGTAATCTGCTATGAAAAGGGGTCAGTTCATCTCAAGAAGGGAGAGCGTGGCAGGAGCCGCCGAGCAGGCGCTGAGGGCACAGAGCAGGCTGACCATCAGTGAGTGGGGAGGGGAATGCAGCACCCACGAATCCCAAACCATCCTCGTCCTTCATCCTCCTGGCGCCCCGTCCTTGGCTTAGCTGAGCAGCAGCACGTACTCCTTGAGGCAGGTGGGCAGAGGCAGCTGCTTCACGGCCTCCGGCAGGAACCGCACGCCCAGGCTGCGGCGCACGGCGTAACGCGACAGCGTCTGCAGTGTCCCCGGGGCCGAGCAGAGCAGGGTGAGCTTCTGGCAGAGCTGCTGGTCCCTGGTCACCTCCCAGGGCATGCTCCCGTTCTTCCTCAGCTCAAAGTGTCCGATGGCGCGATGGAGAAGATCGAAGCAGGAATCCTCCCGCTCCGTCCCCAAGCCCCGCACCAGCAACGCCACCAGACGGGAGATGGGGCTTTGCCCTTTGAGGTTGACCACGCGCACCTCGGCGCCGAAGTCGAGCAGGACACTGACGCTCTCCAGGTTGCCCTTCATGGCGGCCCAGCTCAGGGGGGTGTCGTTGTTGTAGTCACGGGCGTTGACCAGGGCGCCGTTCTCCAGCAGCGCCCGCACGCACTCCGCGTTGTTCTTGAAGGCCGCCCAGTGCAGGGGGGTGTCCTTGTTCCCGTCCAGGGCGTTGGGGTTGGCGCCGTATTCCAAGAGGATTTCCACGCACGTTTCGTCCTTCTCCGCCGCGTAGTGAAGGGCTGTGCGGTTGTAGCCATCCAGAGCGTTCACCTGCAGGATGAGCGGAGGGAGGAGAATGGGTTCAGGGCTCCTGAGGGCATCAAGGGAAGCTCCATGGTGTGAAAGCATTCCCACGTCCCAAGTTTAGTGGGTGGGAAGATGAGGCGGGGGGACGACGGGGGACAACGGGACCTGAAGAGCAGCCAGAAGGAAGTGCCACAAATGAGGCACCATAGAGGTTTCACCTCCTTCAGGATTCCATCTCCCAGATGAAAGGGCACCCCAAGACCTCAGGCACAAACACCGCACTCCCTGGTGGGATGAGAAACCTTCACCTGGGTTCATTTTACCTTCCAAGGGGCACGAAACCATAGAGTCATGGAATGTGTCAGGTGGGAAGGGACCTTAAAGCTCCTCCAGCTCCAACCTCCTGCCATGGGCAGGGACCCCTTCCACTGGAGGAGGGTGCTCCAAGCCCCTGTGTCCAACCTGGCCTTGAGCACTGCCAGGGATGGGGCAGCCACAGCTTCGCTGGGCACCCTGTGCCAGTGCCTCAGCACCCTCCCAGGGAAGCGCTTCTGCCCCAGAGCTCATCTCAGTCTCCCCTCGGGCAGGTTCAAGCCATTCCCCTTGGCCTGTCTCTCCATCCCTTCTGCAAAGCCCCTCTCCAGGTTTCTTGTAGCCCCTTTAGGCACTGGAGCTGCTCTAAGGTCTCCCAAGCCTGTGTCCATGTTGATTGCCCCGACCCAGAGGCAGGACCTTGCCCTTGGCCTCATTGAGCCCCATGAGGTTCACACTGGCCTCCACCAACACAAAAACAGTACCACATAATCCCACGGGCTCCAGCCCCAGCCTCCCAACTCCCCAGCCCCCTGTTTCAAAGGGCCCTTTATCTTTTTACCGTGCTTTTATAGTTTCAAGGCCTTTACCTCTGCTCCCTTCTGCAGCAGGAGCTCGACGCAGTCAGCATCAGCCACCATGCAGGCACAGTGCAGCGGCTTCAGCGTCCCGTGCATGCAGTTCACATCTGCACCCTGGAGAGCACAGCAAAGCCCAGCTGGGACCAGCAAACAGGCCCAGCCTGGCCCTTCCAACCCAAACAGCACCTCCAGCCCCCCCCACCAGAGGTTTGTTAATGGAGAAGCGTCATTACCCCTCCTGCACAGCTTGGGGGCTTGCTTCAGGGCTTGCACGGAGCTCCCCGAGGGGCAGGAGCTCATGCATTGCTCCAGGCTTTGGGTTTAGTTCATTTATCATCACTAAATGATGCCTGAAGACATCGAGCGCTGCAGGAGGTTGGTGTAACCCATGGAGGTGGTTATCCTCCGTGTGCCGACTCTCTGCTCCAGAGAGATCTTAAGGAATGGCTGGTGTGAGGCTGGATGGGCCCAGAGGAGGGGTTGGAAAGGGAATTGGGGTCTCTGGCTCACCAGCAGTGGTTCAGAAGCCACCGGTGAGGCTCTGGCATGGCATGGGAGCATCCCTGGTGGGACACAGCCCTGAGCTGAACCCGGGGGCTCGGGGGCTTTCTAAGGGTGTCTCCAAGGAGGTTTATGATGCTTTGCAGTGGCCTCACCACCCAAAATAGCTCAGCAGCTGCCTGGAGCCGTCAGGCGCAGCCAGGGCTCTCCAGTGCCCACAGGAGTGATCCGGGCTGAGGTGAATCATGGAATAGCTTGGGTTGGGAGGGACCCTAAAGCTCATCTAGGCCAATTCCCCCTCAATAAGCTGGGACACCTTCAACTAGATCAGGTAGCCCAGAACCACATCCAGCCTGGCCTGGAATGCCTCCAGGAATGGGGCATCCACCACCTCTCTGGGCAGTCTGTTCCAGTCTGTACCACCCTTATTGCAAAGGATTGCTTCCCCACATTCAGACTGAATCTCCTTTTCTGGTTTAAAACCATCACCCCTCATCTTGTCACAACAGGCCAGGCTGAAAAGTCTCTCTCCATCTTTCTTACAGGCCCCTTTTAAGAACTAAAAGGCCACGATAAGGTCTCCCCTTCAGGAGCCTTCTCTTCTCCAGGCTGACCCAGCCCAGCTCTCTCAGCCTGGCTCCAGAGCAGAGCTGCTCCAGCCTTTGTAGCATCCCCTTGGCCTCCCTCCAGCAGCTCCACGTCCCTCTTGTGCTGCTGCCCCAGAGCTGGGTCAGGACTGCAGGGGGGGGGGGGTGTCTCTCCAGAGCACAGCAGAGGGTCAGGATCCCCTCCCTGAGCTGCTGCTCACACTCTGGGGGTGCAACCAGCACACGGGGGGGTTCTGGGCTCAAGTGCCCACTGAAGCCAGGTCACGGGGAGCCTCTCCTCACCCAACACCCCAAGTCCTTCCCCTCAGGGTTACTCTCAACCCCTCCATCCCCAGCCTGTGCTGGTACCCGTGGTTGCCCCGACCTAGGCAAAGCTCCAGATCCACCCTCCGTGGGGGCAAGGACGGGCTCCAGCCCCACCAGCCCCTCACCCTCCCGGGTGTTCTAACAGCGGGGACCCATACCCGCGGCCCGACCCGCAGCTCCGGGGCACCGGACGGGGCGTCCCACCGCGGAGCCCTCCCCTAAGCCCCAGTGCGAGCGCTGCGGGCCTGGCTGGGGTCTCACCCTGCCTATGAGATCCTCCACGTTGTCCCGCGGGAAGGAGCGGATGGCGGCGATGGTGCGGATGAGCCGCTCCGACAGCGAGTACTTGCTCTGGATGCTCTGCATGATGTACCACATAGTGCGGGGCCGACGGCAGCATGCCCCGGGCGGCCCCGACGAGCCCCCGGCCACAGGCCCTCAGCGGCTCCCCCTCCGGGGCGGCGGGCAGGGGCGGGGGGGGTCCCGGTGTTAACGGAGGTCCCGTGGGGGGGTCCCGGTGCTAACGGGGGTCCCGGGGAAGGGTCCCGTGGGGGAGTCCCGGTGTTAACGGGGGTCCCGTGGGGGGAGTCCCGGTGCTAACGGGGGTCCCGTGGGGGGGTCCCGTGGGGGCGGTCCCGTGGGGGGGTCCCGGTGCTAACGGGGGTCCCGGTGCTAACGGGGGTCCCGGTGCTAACTGGGGTCCCGTGGGGGGGGTCCCGGGGGTTCGCGCAGCCCCAGCGCGGCCGCTCCAGGCCCAGAGACAGACGGAAGCCGCCGCCACCCGGAAGTGACGCCTCAGCGCATGCGCAAGCAGACGCCACGCCCCTTCCCCGCCACCTCTCCACCAATCCGACTCCCGGCGTCCCTCGAGGCTCCGCCTCTTCCCCGCCTTCAGCGGTGTCTCGCGCCCGCCCCCGCTCTTTGCTCTCCTCCAATCGCCTCCCGTACCCGCCCGCAAGCCCCGCCTCTCTCCTCTCTCTCCACCAATCCGCTCTCTCCCTGAGGACCCCCTGGGTTCCACGGCCCCAACCTGGAGCCATGGCGGGGGGTACCCCGCTCCCGGTGTCACCATGGCAACGAGGCCTAGTGCCCCCAGACCCACCATGGGGGGGGGGCACCCCCAAATCCCCCCCCAAACCCACCATGGTGGGGGGCGGGGGGGGCAAACACCCCAAATACCCCCCCCCCCACACACACACCCCATAGAAGGGGGGCACAGCCCCGGGGCCCCGCGGCCTCGCCATGCGGCAGCCGAGGGCGGCCATGAGGAGAGCCCGCTCCGCCGCGGCCCCGCTCCCCCCCGGGCCGGCCCGGCTGCAGCGGTGAGTGGGGCCGGGCCCCCCCCCCCCCCCCCCCCAAAAAAAGAGGCAGAACAGGGGACACCCCCCCTGCCCCTTTTCCCCCTTCCCGTGATGATGGCGATGCTCGGGGGGAGCGCGGCCCCTTCCCCAGATTGGGGGGTGGTGTCAGGAGGGGAAGGGGGGGTTCGCGATGGGGATGCCTCAAACCGCAACCCATGGGCTTGGTGCCCCCCCCCCCCAGTATCAGGAGCTGGGGCATGGACACCCCCCCCCCCCACGCGTCACCCCATCTCTTTGCCCCCCCATCCCGGTCAGGATCGCCCCGTCTGAGCGTGCTGGGATGGCAGCGATGGATGCGGAGGGGCAAGCGCCCACCCGGGACCCACAGGAGGTGCCAGAGGGGACCCCCGCAGGTGAGACACATCCCCCCCCCCTCCCAAAAGCAGCTCCTGGCCATGGTGAGGGGCTGTGGTGTGTCCCTGTGAGGTGCTGAGTTCTTATGGGGGGTTCTCCCGTTCCCATTGTGTGGGGCTGCTCTGATTCCTGCTATGTGGGTGCTCCAGGGATGGGGGATGTCCTGTTCCCATGGCATGGGGGCACCCCCATGTCACAGCACAGGGGTATCGCAGCTCCATTCCCATGGCACAAGGATACCCCAAAGTATGGGGCTACAACGATCCCACAGCACAGAGGTATCCCAGCCCTGGCCTGCAGGGATGTGCCATTCCCGTTGCATGGGATACCCTGTTCCTGGGGTATGGGGTGTGTCATAAGGGATCCAGGGATGTCCATTCCCATGGCAAGGGGTTACCCTGATTACAGGGTATGGGGGTGCCCCCATCCCTTGGTGTGGGGTTGCCCTGGTTACAGAAGGAGGGGATGCTCCAGTCCTGGGGTGCAGGTACCCAGGTCCAGTGGCATGGGGGTACCCCAACCCTGCAGCACAGCTATGTCCCGGTGCATGGTGAGGGGATGCTCTGATCTGCGGTTAGCGGATGTCCCATGCCTGTGGGGCAATCCCAATCCTGGGGTGCAGGGGTTCCCCATGGCATCCAGATACCTCAATCTCACAGTGCAGGGATGTCCCAGCCCCACAGCACAGGGATGTTCCAGTCCCAGGGCGCAGGGATGTCCCTGCTGTGTGGTGTGGGGAGGCCTCAGTTTAGGGATGCAGGGATCCCCCATCACTGTGGCACGGGGACACTGATCCCAGGATGCAGGGATGTCCCAGTACCACATCGTGGGGATGTCCCCGTCCTATGGCATGCTGATGAGCTGATCTCGGGTACCTTGCCCCCACACCATGGGAATGTCCCAGTTCTGGGGTGCAGGGACGTCCTGATCCCATGGTGTGGGCATGTTCCGATCCCACTTCATGACAATGCCCTGATCCCGGGGTACAGGGATGTCCCAATCCCATGGCATGGGGATGATCTGATCCCGGGGTGCAGGACATGCAGCAGGGGCTGCACCAGGAGTTCAGCCTGGGCTTGGGAGTGGGACAGGGGTGTCACTGCTGTCCCCAAACCGGAGAGGGGATGGGGAAGGTGGAGAGGGGATGAAGAAGGAGGAGAGGGGATGGAGAAGGGACAGAGGGATAGGTAAGGTGGAAAAGGGGATGGAGAAGGGAGGAAGGGATGGAGAAGGGGAAGAGGGAACGGGGAAGAGGGGATAGAGAAAGGGAAGATGAGTTGGAGAAGGTGGAAAAGGGATGGAGAAGGGGAAGAGGGCATGGAGGAGGGACAGAGGGATGGAAAAGGTGGAAAAGGGGATGAAGAAGGGAACAAGGGATGGAGAAGGGGAGGAGGGGATGGGAAAGGTGGAAAAGAGGATGAAGAAGGGGAAGAGGGAAGGGGGAAGAGGGGATAGAGAAAGGGAAGATGGGTTGGAGAAGGTGGAAAAGGGATGGAGAAGGTGAAAAAGGGATGGAGAAGGGGAAGAGGGCATGGAGTTAGAAAAGGGATGGAGAAATAATGATGGAGAAAGGGGAAGAGGAGGTGGGGAAGGGGCAGAACAAATGGGGAAGGGGAAGCGGGGATGGAGAAGGTGAAGCGGGGATAGAAAAGGTGGAAAAGGGATGGAGAAGAGGACAGAGGGGACGGCACAGGGGGGACACAACCCCTCGGTGCCACCCATGCCAGTGCGTCCTGCTGGTGCCCAGCTCTCCTCTCCCCACAGCCCACCCCATCCCGCCGGCCTCGGGCAGGCGACGGAAGGCACCGGCCCGTGGAGCAGCCAAGGCACCGGGACAAGCGGGGGGCCTGGGGCTGCTGGGGGGGCTGCGGGGGGGCCGCCTGCGCCCCACCATCTGCAGCGAGTGCGGGAAGGGCTTCAGCCGCAGCTCGGACCTGGCGCGGCACCAGATCACCCACACGGGCGAGAAGCCCTTCAGGTGCGGCGCCTGCGGCAAAGGCTTCAGCCAGAACTCCAACCTGGTGACGCACCGGCGCATCCACACCGGCGAGAAGCCCTACGGCTGCGGCGCCTGCGGGAAGCGCTTCAGCGAGAGCTCGGCGCTCATCCAGCACCAGCGGACCCACACCGGGGAGCGGCCCTACGGCTGCGGGGAGTGCGGGAAGCGCTTCAGCGTCAGCTCCAACCTCATCCGGCACCGGCGCACCCACACCGGCGAGCGGCCCCACGTCTGCGCCGACTGCGGGGATGGCTTCCGGCACAAGGCCCAGCTCCGCCGGCACCAGAAGCTTCACGCCGTGTGATGGGGACATTGGGATGGGGATGAAGGGATGGGGACATCGGGATGGGGATGCTGGGATGGGAACATCAGGAAAGGGACATTGGGATGGGGACAGCGGGATGGGGACACAAGGATGGGGATGGGGACATCAGGATGGGGATGGGGACATCAGGATGGGGATGGAGAGTCCAAGATGGGGACACTGGGATGGGGATGGAGGCACCAGCATGGGGACATTGGGATGGCGATGAAGGGATGGGGACACCAGGATGGGGATGGAGTGTACAAGATGGGGACACTGGGATGGGGACACTGGGTTGGGGGTGTAGGCATCAGCATGGGGACATTGGGATGGCGATGAAGGGATGGGGACACCAGGATGGGGACACTGGGATGAGGACATCAGGATGGGGATGGAGAGTCCAAGATGGGGACACTGGGATGTGGACACTGGGCTGGGGACACTGGAATGGGGATGGGAGCATTAGGATGGGGATGGGGACATCAGGATGGGGATGGGGAGTCCAAGATGAGGACACTGGGATGGAGATGGAGGCACCAGCATGGGGACATTGGGATGGCAATGAAGGGATGGGGACATCGGGATGGGGACACTGGGATGAGGACATCAGGATGAAGATGCCAGGATGGGGACACTGGGATGGGGACACCAAGGTGGGGGTGCTGGGATGGGGATGAAGGGATGGGGTTGGGGACATCAGGATGGGGACACCGGAATGAGGAGGCCAGGATGATGATGCTAGGATGGAGCTACTGGGATGGGGATGGGGACATCAGGATGGGAACATTGGGGTGGGGATGAAGGGATGGAGATGCTGGGATGGGGACACCAGGATGGCGACGCTAGAATGAGGATGCCAGGATGGGGATGGGGACACCAGAAATCGGACACCGAGATGGGGATGCTGGGATGGGGACACTCCAGGTTGGGGATATTGGAATGGGGATGTTGGAATGGAGACACTGATATGGGGACAAGGATTCCAGGGCTGGGATGCTGGAATGGGGCCACCGAGGTGGGGAAAAGGATGCTGGGATGGGGATAGGGACGCTGGGATGGGGAGAGGGACACTGGGATGGGGATGAGGACACTGGGATGGGGAGAGGGACACTGGGATGGGGATGAGAACACTGGGATGGGGATAGGGACACTGGGATGGGGATAGGGACACTGGGATGGGGAGAGGGACACTGGGATGGGGATGAGGACACTGGGATGGGGATAGGGACACTGGGATGGGGATAGGGACACTGGGATGGGGATAGGGACACTGGGATGGGGAGAGGGACACTGGGATGGGGATGAGGACACTGGGATGGGGATGCAGGGGACACCGGGATGAGTGCCCCAGGAAGGAGATGCCTTTGGGGTGCATCCCCACCAGTGGGCACCGGCATCGCTGGGCCGGGGGCCGCGTCGGGCAGGAGCGGGGCCGAGGCTCAGCCCCCCCCCCCCAAACCGGGGACCTCAATAAACGGCTCCCGAGCAGCGGCGCTCCCCGGGCATCACCGCAGGGATCCGGATCCCCCCGGGGCCGGGGCGGCGGCCGCGGCAATGGCGCGATCCCGGCGCCGCCATGGGCAGGCTTTTTCCGTCAGCCGATCCCGGTGCCCGCGGGGCCGGATCCCGCAGCGGCCCGGGGGGGGGGGAATCCCCCCTTGCACCCCCCATTGCACCCCTATAACACTCGGGGTGCTGGGGCCGATCCCGCGCTCCCGTTCCGGCCTCCTTGCACCATTCCCAACCATTTTCCTTCGCCGGGGGGGGCGGAAAACGAGGGGCTGGAGCCGGAACCGTTACACAAAGCGATGGGGGGGCGGGGGGGATAAAGGGGGGATCCGGCCGCTCATTTCCCTCCGTTGCCCCCCCCCCCAAACCCATCCCCCCTCCCAATCCCCCTCCGGAACGTTTCCCAAGCGGAGCGGTCATAAAAACACCCCGAATCCCGGTTGAATCCCGGTTGAATCCCGGATTTCCCGTCACCAGGAGGACCTCCCCCCCCCCCCATCTCTCTCTGTGGGGTTTGGGGGTGTCGAGGGCTGCCCCCCCCCCCCCCCCCCGTTTTTTCCGTGCTCCGAGTGGGAAAAGCGCATCCGGCGGCAGCGGGGCCGGGGAATGGGATGAGGCTGGGACCTTCCTGTTCCCGGCCTCCCCCCGCAGCAGCCTCGAGCTCCGCGCATCGTCCCCCCCCCCCCAACCCCTACCCGGACCCTTCACCAGAGCCCCCCCTCCCCGCTCCGAGCCCTGCGCCCGTTCCCATCGCGGATCCCCGCGCTCCAGCCCCGCAGAGGTGAGTGGGGGCCCGGCGGGTTTGGGGGGGACACACACATGGATGAGCCGCTGCCCTTGGGGGTGATGGTGATGGAGGGGGGGGGGGATGCAGGAGGATGGGGACCCCCCCTCCCCCCCCATCTGGTGCCGGGGCTGCGGAGCCGCTGTGGGAGCGGTGCTGGAATGGGGGGGGGGGGGGGTCCCCGGGGCTTCCCGGTTCCTTTGTGCCCCTCGGCCCCCGCGGCGCGCCCCCCCCCCCCGGGCATCAACGGGGGGGGGAAACTGAGGCAGGGAGAGGGGAAAGAGTGGGGGGGGAATGGGGAGGGTTTGGGGGGGCAAAAGCCCTGCAGCGCCCGTGCCCCCCCCCGCGCGATGCTCCGAGACCCCTTGTGCCCCCCCCATTGAAGTGTTGGGGGCTCAGCTCGGTCCCCCCCCCAGCCCCCCAATAAAGGGAACGGCTCCATGACCCCCCCCCCCCATAGGGGGGGCCTCCCGTTTAGGGTCAGTGGACACGCGGGGGGTTTGGGGGGTGTCAATGCCTCAGTTTCCCCCCTCGGGTGCAGCGCAGGGGTGGGGATTGGGCTGCTTTAGCCCCCAATAACCACAGACCCCCCTAAAACAGCCCGGAGATGGGGGGCATCGAGTGTGTGTGTGTGGAGCGCCTGGGAGGGCACCTGGCACCCCCCCCATACCCTGCACTGGGCAGCTCTGGGGGGGCACTGGAAGACCTGGAGGTGCTCTGGGGAGCTTTGGGGTGCGTTGGGTGCATTGAGCAGCTTGGGAGGGGCACAATCCTGGGCACCCCAAGGGGGGACTGTGGGCACCTTTGGGGTGCACAGGGCACGCTGGGGGGTATGTAGCATCTTTGGGGTGCTCTGAGCATCTTTGGGGTGGTACAGGCACTGCTGGGGGACTGCGGGTGGTGGGGTGCAGGCACCTTTGGGGTGCATCAGGCACCATGGGGAAGGGATACAGGCATCTTTGGGGTGCAATGGGCATCCTGGGAGGGATTTAGCACCTGTGGGGTGCACTGAGCATCTTTGGGGTGGTACAGGCACTGCTGGGGGACCACGGGTTTGGGGGGTACGGGTGTCTTTGGTGTGCATCAGTCACTAAGGAAAAGGGATACAGGCACCTTTGGGGTGCAATGGGCATCCTGGGAGGGATGCAGGCACTTTTGGGGTGCATGATGCACCCCAGGGGACCAGCAAGGGCACCTTTGGGATGCACTGGGAATCCTGGGAGGGGGTGAAGGTGTTTTGGGGCGCACCAGGCAACCTGGGAGGGGGGTACAAGCACCTTGGGGTACACTGGGAATCCTCAGGGGGAAGGGATGCAGACACTGTTGGGGTGCTCCAGTCACCCAATGAGTGGGGTACAGACACCCCTGGGGGAGCTCCAGGCACCCTGAGGGGGGAGTTAAGGCTCTTTCGGGGTGCTGCAAGCACCATGGAGAGGGGTACAGGCACCTTTTAGGGAGCACCAGGCACCCTGGGGGGGGGGGGGTGTACAGGAGCATTTGGGGTGCTGCAGGCACCATGGATGGGGATGCAGGCACTTTTGGGGTGCACAAAGCATTACAGGGGGGAGGTACAGGCACCTATTGGGGTGCACCAGGTACCCTGGGGGGTGTTAAGGCCCTTTTGGGGTGCTCCAGGCACTATGGATAGGGATGCAGGCACTTTTGGGGTGCACAAAGCATTACACGAGGGAGGTACAGGCACCTATTGGGGTGCACCAGGTACCCTGGGGGGTGTTAAGGCCTTTTTGGGGTGCTCCAGGCACCATGGATGGGGACGCAGGCACTTTTGGGGTGCACAAAGCATTACACGAGGGAGGTACAGGCACCTATTGGGGTGCATCAGGCACCCGGGGGGGGGGTTAAGGCCCTTTTGGGGTGCTCCAGGCACCATGGTGAGGGGTACAGGGAGCATCAGGCCCCCCAGGAGGGGGGGACAAGCATTTTGGGGTGCAGTGGGCACCCCTGTGGGTACCAAGGTTCTTTTGGGGTGCTGCAGGGTGCACAGAGCATCCCAATAGGGGGTGCAGGCACCTCGGGGTGCTCCGGCCTTGCTGCGGGCGCAGCCCCGCGCCCGGGGGCGGTACCGGGGGTGGTACCGGGGGTCCCCCCCCCTCCAGCCCCCCTCGGGGGCCGGGCCCGTGGAGCCACCGCCCCCTCGGGCCGGGCAAGCGGCGGAAGCGGCGGAGCCGCCGCAACGGGGCCGGTGAGCGGGGGGGGGCACGGGGGGAACCGGGACCAGAACCGGGGATGCTCGGGGGGGTCCCGGAGCCCCCCCGCACCGAGGCCTCTCCCCTCCGGCACCGGGACCCCCCAGGGACGGATTCACCCCCCCCACTGCTGAAGGACCCGAACGGGGGGGTACGGGGGGGGGTTACAGCCTCCCTATGGGGGGTGAATGGGGGGGCAGGTCCATGGGGTGGGGAACAAGTGAATCCTCCCCCCGCGGGGTTGTAACCTCCTGTGTGTGTTTTGGGGTCCAGCGCCAGGGCAGAGCCGTGGGGAGCAGCAGCAGGAGGAACCCCCCGAGACCCCCCCTGGGCACAGGTAATGGGGGGTGATGGGGGGGGGTTGGGGTGCACACAGGGATTTGGGGTGCATGAAGGGATTGGGGGGGGCACAAAGGGATAGGGGAATCCCACAGAGGAGTTGAGGGGGGGATGAAGGGATGTGATGCAGGACAAAGGGATTTGGGGTGCATGAGGGGATTTGGGGGGGGCACAGGGGGACCATTCGCCCCCCACTCCTCCCACTGGTTCAGGCC